ATCAAGGAGGTGAAAGATCTCTACAACGAAAATGATAAACATGGATGAAAGAAATTGAAGAGGATAGAAATAAATGGGAGCATATCCCATGTTCATAAATTCAAGAATTAATACTGTTAAAATGCCCAAATTACCCAAAGTGATCTACAGATTCATGCAATCCCTATCAAAGTTCCAATGTCATTCTTGATAGAATAGAAAAAAAGATCTTAAAATTCATATGAACTACAAAAGACCCTAAATGGACACAGCAATCTTGAGTAAGAAGATCAAATCTGTAAGCATCACACTACTTAATTTCAAAACATACTACAAAACAAAAAAACAAATAATCTGTTTCTAAGTGAGCAAAAAACATGAATAGACGTTTCTCCAAAGAAGACATACAAATGGCCAATAGAAATATTAAAAAATGCTCAATGTCACTAACCACAAAGAAAATGCAAATCAAAACCACAATGAGATATCGCCTCATCCCAGTTAGAATCGCTGCCATCAAGAAGACAAAAACTAACAAATGCTGGCGAGGGTGTGGAGGAAGGGGAACTCTTATATGTTAGTGGGAATGTAAATTAGTACAGCCGTTATGGGAAGCAGCATAGAGGTTCCTCAAAAAATTAAAAACAGATCTACCATCTGACCCAGCAATCCCACTACTGGGTACGTATCCAAAGGAAATGAAATCAGTATGTGGAAGAGAAATCTACATTCCCATGTTTATTGCAGTACTATTCACAGTAGCCAAGATATGGAATCAACCTAAATGCTCATCAATGGATGAATGGATAAAGAAAACACACATAATATTATTCAGCCATAAAAAAGGATGAAATCCCGTCATTTGTGACCACATGGATGGTCACTCAACATCACTCAACATCATGTTGAGTGAAATAAGCCAGTCAGAGAAAGACAAATATCGCATGATCTCACTCATATGCGAAATCTGAAAAACTGATCTCCTAGGAGTTGAGAGGAGACTAGTGGTTATCAGGGGCTGGGAAGAGTAAGGGGGAGGGGGAGATGGGGAGAGGTTGGCCAGTGGGTACAACGGCACAGTCAGGAGTCAATCTGGCACTCTGGTGCACAGTAGGTGACTGCAGTTATTAATAATGCGTTGTGTATTTCAAATAGCTAGAAGAGAGGACTTCGAATGTCCCCAACACAGAGAAATGATAAATAGTGAAGGTGATGGATACGCTAATTACCATGATTTGATCATCATACTATCCATGCATGTATCAAAATATCACACTGTACCCTACAAATGTGTACAATTTCTGTGTGTCAGTTTAAAAAGTTAAATAAAAAGGAAAAGAAAGGCAAATTCCTAGACCTGATCCCATTTACTGAGTCGGAAACTCTGGGGGACCAGCTACCTGTGTCTTAACAATCCTCTAAGTGATTCTGATGCATACTAAAGTTGGAGAACCACTGGCTAATAAGAAAAATATTTATTTAATACTAAAGTGCAGTCATAATAACTACCACCTATTGAGTGCTGTTTTGTTTCTAGACATTGTACTAACGATTTTATCAGCATATTTTATTTAATCCTCACAAGAAGGGTTGGGTCCTCTGATCTCCACTTTGAAGATGAGGCAATGAGGCTTAGAGCCTCAGCAGTGACCTAGTTAGCAGGTGACAGGGCCAGCACTCAGACTCCAATCTGTCTGACAGCATCCCCCACGGCCTGTCGCGCTCATCAGGCTCCTACCGAGGAGAAACTCTGGCCTGGACATCACAGTGAGCGCGTGTCCACGGAATCACGCAGTCTCTTAACGTGTCTCCGGGGCTCCTGGATCCCTCCCGCAATCTATGCACACGTTCTCTGCATTTGGGAAATCGGCTCACGCTAATGAAGTATTTGAATATGAAGAGCGTTTGGTTTTTTTAAAATAGTGGGCAGAAAGGGAAATAAGTTACCAAAACGCTCATAAACAAATTAGGTTCTCCAAACCACAACAGACCCTTTTACTCAGCAAATTAATAAAAAGTCCCAATGTTCTGGAAAAGGAAATGCACGTTCTGCTAGCATTGCTCGTGAGTCTTGTTTCCAGAGCCATTGGTCCTGTCGGTTTCTCCACCCCTGAGCCCTCTCTCCCCTTCGGGAAGGCCCTCAGCTCTCTCCTGAAGACGCAGGCCTTGGATAGGAGGGATTTTAGAAGTTCTAGTTCAATACCCTGGGACCCAGCATTGCTGTTCTTGGTGCAGCCCAGGATAACCTTGTGTCTCAGGTCAGGTAGCTCAACTCCTGCCGTGAGTCTACGACCTAGTCCCAAATCGTGCGCCAGTGCAAGAAACTGAGTCCCTGCCCCGTTCGCTGTGTCTAAACCCCCATCCTCCAGTCTGAGACCTTGTCTTTCTCTTGACAGACATCCGTGCTCTGGCCTCTGCCCCCCAGCCCTGCGGTTTGGCCTTTGCTCCCTTCTGCTAGACTTTTGTCCCATCTGCCCACTCTGAAGGGTATTTCATCACTAGCTAAGCCCTGACTACTGGTGCTTAGAGAGAGGATACCTTCTAACACTCTGGGTGCAAAACTCGACTGTGTTCAGGAAAAATAAAGATTCCTGGGCCTCCTGCTTAAACACTTTGATTCAGTGGCCCAAGGCCTGGGAACCGTCATTTTTAACAAGCCTCCAATGACACTGATTCAGCCAGTTTACTGACCAGCGTTTCAGAAACTCTCTCCAAAACCACCTTCTCCCAGTTTAAGAAGTGTGGCCGGTGCTTCAGGGATGAAGTGTGCTGGAATGCCCACATGGAAATTAGGACTTCCGTTTTGGTAATTTCTCAACCATGTCCCCAGGGTCAGATGGCGACATGGTTCAGGGGCAGGGGGCAGCGTGGGAGGAGCAGGGTGGTAGAAGATGCTTCGTGTCCAGATCTATGGTGGCCTAACGAACAGTGTCTGAGAACGGCCTCTGAGTCACACTGCCTGTGTTCTTATCCTGACTCAACCACTTACTGGCTGGGGAGTCTCTGTGCACATCTTCCGTATCTATAAACTAAACGCTATATAAATGTTTGCCATTATTCTTATTATCTTTCTTATACCAGGAACAGACAAGGAGGTGCAAGAACCAGAAGCAGGCAGGGCATCCTCCTCACCTCTCTTTTCCTTCTCACCAAACAGACTTCCTACCCCAGGACCTTTACACTTCCTGTTTGTGTTCCTGGAAGATTCTTCCCCCAGCTAATTCTTGCTTCCTCACTTCATTCACATATTTTGTCAAATGTCACTCCCTTGGAGAGCCTTTCTGTGACCACCCCATCCAAAGAAGCCCTGGCCCCTGGGCTGCTCTGTCCACTACCCCGCTGCACACTGACCCACGGCCTTATTATTTCCCGACATGACATCACGCGTTTGTCACATGTCCCCCACACTAAATGTAAACTCCATCAGGACAGGGATTATCGTATGTTTTGTTCTCTGCTATATTCCCAGCACCTGGAACAGTGCCTAGAAGATAGCTGTCATTCAACAAACGTTCAATGAATGAATGAATGAGTGAAGGAATCCAGCCCTCTTCCTTTCCTCAGTGGCCATTATTCTGGGCCCTTCTGTCGAGGACAGTTTCCTCAACAGGAGCACTGTTGACATCTGGGGCCAGAGAGTTCTATGGTGTTGGGTTTGTCTTGTCCACTGCTGGGTATGAGCAGTGTGTCTGGCCTCTACCCACCAGATAGTAGCACCTGCTCTGTGCCCCCAAGTTATGACAATCAAAAGTGTCTCTAGACATTTGCCTGATGTCCCCTGGGGGCAAAATGCCCTTGGTAGAGAACCACTGGGGGAATGTCAGGCTGGCTGAGCTAATATAGTGTAAATAACTAAAAGTGGATGCTTAGTAATGAAAAAGAGGGCTAGGATGTCAGAATGAGAACTACACAATATATCTTGAGGCCTCAAAGAAGCCAATAATTTCAACCAATTATTATTTGATGGTTATAATAAGTAACAGAATTGTGCAGAAGCCAAGATTATTAGACATGATTGATTTGGCCTAAGTATTGTATTTGACTAAGAACAAACACAAAGCAAAACTTACCATAGTCCTAATTCCAGACGTCTGTAGACATAAAGACCCTCGATACATCACATCCATAGTTCTGTTTGTTTTTTTTTTTTTGAGACAGAGTCTCACTCTGTGGCCCGGACTAGAGTGCCGTGGCATCAGCCTAGCTCACAGCAACTTCAAACTCCTGGGCTCAAGCGATTCTCCTGCCTCAGCCTACCGAGTAGCTGGGACTACAGGCATGTGCCACCATGCCCGGATAATTTTTTCTATATGTATATTTTTAGTTGTCCAGATAATTCCTTTCTATTTTTAGTAGGGACGGGGTCTCAGACTTGCTCAGGCTGGTCTCGAACTCCTGACCTCGAGCAATCAATCCATCTGCCTCGGCCTCCCAGAGTGCTAGGATTACAGGCGTGAGCCACCGCGCCCGGCCACATCTGTGGTTCTAATAACACATCTACTGATCTGAGATTCTCATCTTAAAAGATATAAACCGTATCAAACACATGACAATGTATATTCCCTTTTGACAATACATGCCTTGGAAAGTTTCATAACCCAGTACCTTTTTTAAAAAGATTTTTTTCTTTACTATTTCCTATATTTTTTTTCTAGAAAATCTTGGCAAATTTCCAATTTCTAAAAACTTCTTACAGTGGAATGAGTCCAATCAATAAAAAACTGAGAATTTTTCTCAGTTTTATCAATAAAATTATAAATTAATACATTCAAAATGTGGAACTTTTATTTTCAGAACTGATGACGAGCCCAACAGATTAAAGTTTTAGGCTCAGATACAGGCATTGGGGAAAAATGACCCAAACTAATAGAAATGTTTCCCCTGCTCATATTTTGATTTAAAAAAAATTTTTTTAATGGAACACTTGTGGATAATTCTATAACGTTTAACGTTTTTTCCTTAAAAGAAAATATTACCTCAAATTGCTTACAAATCTCAATTAAGGATTTCTTCCAACATACCTTTAAGACAAAGCAGTAGTCCGTGGGCGCTTTATATTTCATTTTACACTGAATCCCATAGTAAATATTGACATTTTCAAACTGTATAAAACATGCCAGGTCTCGAGATGTCTGAAAGACAGGGAAGAAATAAGCTCGCCTGAGATGACGGTTAATAATTTCCCAAGGCTGTTTCTGATGGCACAACTAAGGATTACACTTTAATAGAGAAAATACTGACTTTTAGGTAATTTGTCTAAACAATGACCATATATAATTTTCTAAAAGCCAAGCCTGCATTTTGAGAGGTGAAAGATGCTGAATGTTCCCAGCGCAAAGTAATGATAAATGTTTGAGATGATGGATATGCTAATTATCCTGATCTGATGACTATACATTCTATGTGTTATATCAAAACATCACTATGTATCCCGTGAATATGTACAATTATTTGTCAATTAAAAAAAAGAGTGCAACCAAGGCAAAACGGTGTGCCACTGGCCCAGAAACGCGATGAAAGATCGTTCTGCTGATCTCGTGCCTGTCAGGGACTCCCAGAGTCAGAACTGACTGCCCCTCAGACGTCGTTACTGATGCAGTCAGAACAAGGTGACCACCTCGTCAGAAATTTCATTTTGGCTTTTGCTATTCTAAGTCAGGGATGGATTTTGTGATTGGGCATTAAAAAAAAAAGTCCCCCCGCAGGGTGAACAATGAGAGGTAAATTCGAGGCTCCGTAAATTAGCACACACGTCATGCGCTTCTTCCTGAGCAAATGGATTTCTTTCCTGCTCTCTTTTTACTGTAGGCATGTTGCCATGGCAACAGAGACCTCTCCTACATGGATAATGCGCGTGTGAAGACTGCAGCCTCTAATCTACATATTTGGTTGCACTTCAATTACAAATTTGTTCCATGACTCTCTTTTTTTCTTTCACATTCTACACTTCTTTACCTAATTAGAGAATAAAGAGCAGAATTATCACACCTTTGTGTACAATTATTCCTTTATATAGAGCTGTGCATTTTTATCTTAAAAGATATTTTCTTCTGGATTTTCTAAGTTTCAATTAGAAAAATAATACATACTTGTCACAATTAAAAAATATATAAAATAAATGCACATCTTCCTTCACTACCCCTTTTTCTTATTCCAGTCTTTTCTGCAGAGGTACCATAGTTAATAGTTTGGTAGTATTCTTCCAAATGTTTTTGGGTAAACATTTATGAACATATGTATGTGTAGATGTATCCACTTATATGCAAATACACAATTTTCAAAACGTGAATGAGATTTTACTATACTATTCCATGACTTATTCTTTTTCTTATTTATTTACTTATTTACTTACTTATTCATTGAGACAGAGTCTGACTGTGTCACCCAGGCTGGAGTGTAGTGGCATCGTCATAGCTCACTGTAGCCCCGAACTCCTGGGCTCACGGGATCCTCCCACCTAAGCCTCCTGAGTAGCTGGGACCACTGGCATGTGCCACCAGGCCTGGCTAATTTTTAAACTTTTTGTAGAGACGGGGTCTCACTATGTTGTCCAGGCTGGTCTTGAACTCCTGGCCTCAAGCAATCCTCCCACCTCAGTCTCCCAATGTGCTGGGACAACAGATGTGAGCTATCACACCCAGCCCCTTTTTCTTCATGTTGTTTCTCGGGGTCTTTCTACGTCAGGACACATGGATGGACATATGACGTTCATTCTATGGCTGCACAGCGTTCCACTGTATAGGTGTAACAATTTATTTAACCATTTTTCTATACACGATTAAAGGTTATTACAGTATTTTGCTATTACAAAAAATACTGTGCATATGAGCAAATATTTCAGTGGGACAGATTTGCCAAGCATGCAGTCGCCATTTGAAAGGGTATTTATTCCCTTTTACATATGCATGGATCTTGCTAAATTGTCCCCCAATTAGCAGTACCAGTTTACATTCCAACCTCCTATGCCTGAGAGTGCCCCTCCCTGCTTTTTTTTATCTATTCCTGCCAAAATGTGATTATCAATATTGTTTATTTTATCAATCTCATGGAGGAAATACCTCACTGTTTAATTTACATTTCCCTGATTCTAGTAAAACAGGGCAACATTTAATTATTCAGTCGCTACTAGTATTTCCTTTTCTGTGAATTCTCACTTTAAAAGCTTTGCCATTTTTCTACAAGTATATTTATCTTTTTCCAATTGATTTGAAGTCTTTATATTTTATGGACATTTGTACTTGGTTATACATGTTCCAAATGTACGCCCTGGCTCTGTAGTAGTCTTCTTGTTTGGTAGCTTTGGCCATAAGGAATTAAAAACAGCTATATAGTTAAATTTATCAATTTTCTCCTGTATAATTTTGAATTTTTATTTTTGCTTAAGAAGGCTTTTCCCAACCCCAAATTATGAAATTATTAACCTACATTTTCTTCTAGGATTTTATACTCTTTTTTTTTCTAAAGAGCAATGTAGAATTTAATTTGGTGCTCGAAATGAGGTAGGAAACTATTTTTTTCCAAATGGATATACAATTATTTCAGTGCTAGTCATTGAACAGCACATTCTTTAAAATACTGTAAAATACTGACTTTAATTTCCCTTATATTAGTTGGCCCTCTGTTGACCTGTTTCTTAAACAGTTCTTAAGTTTATTGTTAGGTGTTTTGCATTTTTTTGTTTTTACTATGTATGAAATCCTTTGCATTATATTTTAATTTGCATATTATTTGTATAAATGAAAATAATTTATTTGGCAATTTATTCGGTCCTAATAGGTTTTCAGTTGACTATTGGGTAGATAATCATGTCACCTGTGAAAAATGAGAGTTTTTTTTTCCTCTTCTTTTCCAATAACTATACTTATTCTTTTCCTTGACTTACTGTTTAGTTCCTCCACCCCAATGCTAATGGTAGCAGTGAGAGAAGGTTTCCTTGCCAACCCTAATGAGAACACTTTTCATTTTTATCATTCAGTGGATTGTTTGTTATAGGTTTATTTAGATGTCTCACTTGTATTTAAATGCCCAAGACACAAAATTTCTAAAATAAAACAAATGATTTGTATGTCAATTGTTAGGTTCCCAGTGTGATAGGAGGGAAAGCATCAGATCTAAGACTGAGACCAGAGTCTCTTTGACTCTCTTTGACTCTTTGAGGAGGAGGAGAACGGCTGCTGCCCTGGGCCAGAGTTACCCACAATGCCCCTCCTGCCTTCCCACAGGGATGCCAGAGTCTCCTTTCCAGAGGGGGCGGACCTGGATGACTTCACCTGCTTGGAAACGTGGGTTAAGCTCCATCAGAGGAAGCGTGCAATCCATAAATACGCCATTTGGTGGCGCCCTGCATTCTGAAAAGGCAAAACGCTTGGCATACCCCAGACACAGATAAAAGATACATCCTAAGGCTCTTTAAAGGCGAACAAAAGGTGAAAACATCATAACCCTCTTGGCTCAGGCCTGTAATACTAGCACTCTTGGGAGGCCAAGGCAGGAGGATCGCTTGAGGTCAGGAGTTTGAGAAAGGTCTTAGAAAAAGCTAATGGTTGGAATGACAGTTAAAATTACATTTCAAAGAAGTACTTAATATATGCTTGGAGATTTGAGGCAATAATCCCAAATCACTAAGTTAACTGATGTCTAAAATATTCTGTTAAATCAGGCAGGGCAATGCATATAGTACACCTCGGAGCACAAGTCACATGTTCAGAGTATAAGGGCTCAGATCTCAATGAAGATGTTAGCAAGACTTCTAACGCCTCTATAATTCCAGGTAGAAGAAGTTTTACTACAATGATTATAGAAGAAGAGAGTAAATACAGGGAAAAAAACATCCTCAGAAATGGATATGGAAAGTAACAAAATAATCTCTAGAAACGTGCTTTTGGCATAATTTTGGAAATCTCATTTTAAAATAGATAAAATTCTTTTATTTTTAAGAGAGCTATGGAAAAAATGGAAAAGGGTTTCAGTAATTCTGTCCCTTCAGGTATGTATTTCTATATATGTTGCAGTACCATGGAAGCTAGAGCGACAGCGTGTGTTGAAATTGCCACTTCAGTATTTCTTTAGTTTCACTTTCGTGAAACGCTTTATTGCTAAAGTGCTTTTTTATTTTCGTTTTTGCTTTTTCTCTCTGACCTTAGTCTTTCCTTTGGGTACATAATAAATTCCAGAAGCCCGTAAAAGGAAATAGCGCCTTTTCCAGGATTTCTTTCCATCTTCTTTCAAATAAAGAGCTCCTTCGAGTTCTGGTACAATGACAGACGTTCCACAGAAACTTTCCTGAAATTGAGATTCCGATGACAAACCACGCAAGAGGTAAAGCACACATTCTCGTTCACATTTAAACAAACCTGCACAGTAGCCTTTAAACTAAAAGTCAGTTTTGTCTACGACTCTGATTGAATGCATATGTTTACATTATAAAATATTTGCCAAAAGGGAGGAAGAATAACACAGTGGTCAAGAACTGTGGCTTCTGAGTTAGACCTCAAGTGACTATGGGCCACCAAACCTCAGTTCACTTGTAAAAATGGAATAATAATAGCCCAACTTCATAAGGTAGGTTGTTAGTACAATCTTGGTATATTGTAAAAGTAAGCATTTAATAAAGGCTATTATTATTATACATGCAAAAACAGAAAAATTATTACTTTCTTGATAAGTAAAAAATAATTACTATTTCATTGCTGGTAAATATTATAGAAAAATTAAAATATATAATAATATATAAAATAAGTTAATATCTTATTGGGATAGTTTTCTTTTCAAAGCATGACAGAGGCAATTGTTAATACTAGAGTATCAGAAAAGAATGAGAAAACACATTTTCTAGGTATAGATTTTCAAATCTCAAAACTTGCATAGAATTATATTTCTTAATTTCTTTTAAAAAGCAATAGAATAAAATTACATAGTATTCTATAGGACAGTTCAAATGCTCAAACTTATTTTTTGCTTTCTTTTTATAACTCTCAACATCCTCCCATTTAGTCTCAGAAATGCAAAATAACCAAATTTTGCATCTTCCAAGTAAATTTATATGTATAGAACCGGAAAACATTTTTGTTCAAATTTCCCCCAATTTCCCCATCCACCCCCCCACATTAGCTAGTATTAGTAGTCCTAGCAATAATCTCTTAAATTCAAGCAGATTTTTGGCCCGAGTCAGACAGAAGCGTAATGCTGATTTTTCAAAGCATAACATGCTTTGCATTTTCTTTCATATCCAACTATAAAGCACCGCTGAAGTTCCGTCACAAGGACTATACTGTTGGGCCTTCCAGAAATGCCCACTGTGCTCGTGGTCCCAGGAAGCAGAAGCTGTGACAGGTGCTCAGGGGCTTGGGAACAGCTGCAGGTCCTGACACCTGCTTCATCCCGTGCAGGGCTGAGATCCCAGCAGGGAATCTCAACAGCGCCGGGGCAGGACCTCAGTGGACGGGAGAGGGCGCCCTTCAGCGTCTGCCAACTGGCTCCAGGTGGGAACGCCGGCTTGGGCATCAGCAGGTCTTCTGATTTTTCAAGAAAAGTCCAAAATCTACTAACTCAAGAGAGGGTCCACACACTGTCGCGGGCAAATAAGATCTGGTTACGGTCTAGCATGCCCGTGTGCGACCTGTGATCTGTACTCATTTCCCAGCCTTATGTGCTGGGAACAGAGCTTCGATTTTTAGCACAGTCACTCTGAAAACTCATTAGGAGTTTTCAAAAAATCAATCGCAAATAAACTCCTGGAATACGCCCCGGTAGTGATCATCACAGACATCTGTACAGTAAATCACCAGAAATTGAATTACCTAAATAGCTGTAATTTAGTAATAATTTGATTTTAAAACCCCAACTTAACATTTCAGTGCATGTCTCACACTTTCCCCTTGTTCTGGGAAGCAAACAGCTTAAAAACAGATGCAGCAAAAATCCCTCTCTTTTCTTCCACTCTACAAAATTAAGCTTACCTCGAGTAAAGATTCCTTGTTCTTAGCATTCATTTTCTCATTGGTTTCCTTGCCTTCTTTTTTCCCTTTGTTATTCAAGTAGAAATTCTAAATGAAATGTTAAAAGGTGAGATCAGTAAGCGTTCATTACCATGCTAGACATTGCAAGGAACTCATGGTGTCTTGCTGGAGAGAGAAGATGTACAGGTGTGAAATGAGCAGGTAACCACACCAGCAGGGCCTTCTTGCGTGCAGATTACTGCATCACTGAGGCTGAAGTAAAACCTCCCCTCCCTCCCATAGTGCACAGTCAATGAGGAGATATGAGATAGAAAACACTACCAAAAAATACGATGCCGTTTAACTGTTAAATTCCATGTTCTAGAACATATGTTTCAAATGGTGGAGGCTGGGAGCCCCTCAGGCCCTGGGAAGAGCCTGGGGCTGGACTGAAGGTGGAACCCACGTCCCACGTCCCAGGGGAACTGCTCCCACTGGTGGATGCCATGCGGGGCCTCAAGGCCTGATGGACTAGAGATTCTGGCTTAGCCTGAAATCTAAAAGCAAAGCCTGAAATCTGGATTTTGTAAATGTTGGCGACTTCTTTTATTTTTTAAAAACTGCATGGGGCCGGGCGCAGTGGCTCACACCTGTAATCCTAGCACTGTGGGAGGCCGAGGCGGGTGGATCGCTCAAGGTCAGGAGTTCGAGACCAGCCTGAGCAAGAGTGAGACCCCCGTCTCTACTAAAAAATAGAAATGATCTGGACAACTAAAAATATATATATATATAAAAATTAGCCAGGCATGGTGGCGCGTGCCTGTAGTCCCAGCTACTCGGGAGGCTGAGGCAGCAGGATTGCTTGAGCCCAGGAGTTTGAGGTTGCTGTGAGCTAGGCTGACGCCACGGCACTCACTCTAGCCCGGGCAACAGAGTAAGACTCTGTCTCAAAAAAAAAAAAAAAAAGAACAAAACTACGTGGGTCAGTCAATCACAACACAAGGTTTGCTACTTGGCAATTTCTGGGCCAGACAGAAGTAGAAAGGGCAAGAAAGCCGCCCAAACGAAGGCAGGAAAGACCACGGTTTAAAAGCACTCAACATGGACACATGGTCTCTAAGCGTGGTTGGTATTAATTAATATCATGTGACCCAGCATCAATATCACGCCTTGTGAATACTGAATATCAGTGAGACAGCTAAAAATCAACAGTGTGTGAGTTTCCAAAAAATCATTAGCATTCAGGACTAATTTTTACATAATCAGTACAGCTGAGGTATCCATATGCAAAGTGAATATTATGAGTTACCATAGTTAGTGTTCAGGATTTTTATGTAACATAGAGTTTTATAAAATAATGCATGAAAAATATATTAAAAGTAGAAAATACATCTTAGGAACACAGGGAGTAAATTAAGGACCCTCCTGAACCTAGACACAAATGTTTGTTTATACCATAGCAGTGTTTCTCCGAGTGTGATCCTTGGTGCTAAGGAAAATACACGTTCCTGGGCTCTCAACCTACTGAACTGCAATCTCTGGGGCAAGGCCTGGAAATCTGCATTCCAACATGCTTCCTGGATATTACGCACACTGAAGTTTGAGAACCGAGTGTACTGGACAGAAAGTTAGGACTGGAGGCAAACTATAGGTGAATAAAATGTACAGATTTATGGTATCTACTAGAAACAGAATGCACAAAAGTGGTGATTTGTTAAAGAGGGGAAATAAGTACAACGTCTTTGATAATTCTTATTAAAAAGAAGTTTTCTTTTAATATGTTTTTTCAAGACCTTTTTACTTTTACTAGTTCTTTGAAAGGACAGCATACTGTGAGTGTGATTATAACATAGGATTCAGAAAACTATTTTAATTTTACGTGTTTGGCTTGAAGACTACGACTAACCATGATGGATAACACATTCTACCTGCCAGAACTCCGTGCTAGGGCTTTACAGGTGTGCTTTTCATTCATCCTTATGAGAACCCCATAACGTAGGCACTATTGCTATTGCTATTTTACAGATAAGGAATCAGAGGATGAAGTCGTTTGCCCAAGGCTGATCAGTGGCAAAGCTTTGAGTTTTAAAAAAATTTTTCTCAGCATTAAAATGCTCTAAGTCCAAAGCCAGGCATGGCGGTGCATGCCTGTAGTCTCAGTTATTCGGGAGGCCAAGGTGCAAGGATCGCTTGAGCCCAGAAGTTGGAGTCCAGCCTGGGCAACATAGCGAGACCCCATCTCAAAAAAAAATGCTTTAAGCATCGCAGGAGAGAACCTAGACAACAACGCGAATGTACTTAATACCACTGTAGGATACACTTAAGAATGGTTAAAACGATAAATTCTATGATATGTGCAAACCTTGATTTAGAGGGCTAGATATTTGAATCGCATGTTAATATGATGAAAGGATGAACAGAGAGCACAACAAAGACTGCATAGCATGTTTCTCATCATCATCTGAGAAAGGGCGAGCACGTGTTACCCTCTGCAAGGACAGTTAAGGGACGAGCCTGTCTAAACTGTGGAGGGCCACATTTCACAAGGGTGCCCTGAAGAGTCGGGATCTGTAGCCCTGACTTCCTCTGACACACCTCTTACTTTTGCAGCTTCTGAACAACGTTTTACCTTCTAAGTGACTGTGCTACGCTGTGTTTTTGTTTCTGTTTTCACGAAGAAGCAAAAACACAAAGTAAATCTGTGCCGGAGGAGGGCAGACCTTAAAATCAGACAGATGGCCCTCAGGTCACAAGTTTCACCTCTGATGCCCTGTGATGGGCAGTGGAACTCAAAATTTAATCACTATCGGTTGTAAATGGAAACTGCAGAAATCTGCGTTGAATAATAAAGAAACTATAAAACAGGAAATGAGACTTTGGGTCCCAGATTTCTGTCTTTTCTCACAGCTTCTGAGAGTGCAAGATTTGGGGACAGCTGTATAGAAGGAAACAGAGCAAATACATTACTTTTAAAGTATCACCTTCTTGGAATAAAAAGCAAATCAAGCAAGCAGTGATCAGTCCACGAGTAAATATCTGTGAGTACCCTGACACGTGCAAAACATCCCTGTTCTTCAGAAGCTTGCGATCACACTGAGGGACAGACGGACAGATACCTATATACCTACAGATGTGGGAGATACACGACCCTACACACATTCAGAATGAGCCACGTTCTACGGATTATCAGAGAGGAAGAAATTACTAGGGGCTGAGATGGTCAAGGGAAACTTTGCAGAGGAGATCAAAGTTTGAATTAGGCCGTGCAAGATGTTCAGTATTCAGCTAGGGAAAAAGAATAAGGACAGCATTCTGGGCAGGAGAAGTAGCATATAAAAAGGCACAGAGGTCGCTAACTAGTGGGTGTCTTTGGAGTGCCAGGGAACAGCCAGTCTGGCCAGGACCACGGGATTAGCGCAGTCCACTGAATGGAGATCAGACCATGGCTCCTCATGCTCTGCCTGGCGCCAGGTGGCTGGCCAGTCACTTTCTCTGGAAGGGATGGAGCTTATTTCCTTGCCTCGCCGACGCCGAGTCTGGCCATGGGACTTGTCTTGGTCAACAGCCTGGGCGTGGAAGGGACAACGCATCGATTCTGAGCACAGGACTTGAGGGACGTAGCGTGAGTCCCCTCACTTGCCTGCACTCTTGCCATGCATCATGGGAGGAATATATCACAGGTCTGATGTCTGGCGACAATGAAAGACACGTGGAACTCCCTGAGTCTGACTCGCACTCTGAGCCCAGGACAGATGAGCTGCAGACCCGGCAGAGAGGACGTACGTGTCTGTTGCCATAAGCCACTGGGATCCTGGGGTTGTTTTTTCATGCATCAGACACCGACTACCACACACGCCCACACTGGGTGGTCTGAGGATCCAGGGCACGGACGCCATGGGTGGACCTTCCTTTAACACAGTAGCCCGCACTGAGGACCTTAAAGGTGACAACTATATGGCTTCCCTTCCAGCCACGCTTGGTCCTGGATGGTCAGAAATTGCCCCCGGAAGGAAGAAGGAGGTTGGAAGGGAAAGGAGGAAAGATGCCACGAGGTCATTTTCTCCCACAGTGGCTGCCAGGCTATGGCTGGGACCTTCTGCACTTGAGGGGAAGAAGAAGTTGTGTTTCTCTCTCCCCCTTGTCACCCATGCAGCCAACAGTAAACCACAACCACCACCCAACTTCAGTTCAGAAACAGAACCACCCATAGAATAGAAATTGCCTAAAATATCAATAGTGATTATTGCCAGAGAGTGAGATTATGGGTGATTTAAATTTCCTTCCTTATATTTTTCTGAATTTTCCAACCTTTCCTTTTATAATAAATCGATATTATTTTTGAAGTTAGCAAAAGAAAGTTATTAAAAGAAACAAAAAGCAGCACAGTAAGGAAACAATCTTACATCGACTGACTTCACTAATACCTTCTCTGAAAACAGATTCTTAAGGCTCCTAGCAGTAGGAACGGCCGACATTAGTACTGGAATGATTTTTCAGTCCTCCGTCCCCCAACCTCTCTTTTGGTTCCAGGTGACAGGCTTGAGGACATAACTACTCCAAAACATAGTACGTTGGCATTTGAGAAAACAGCAGAAGCGGGAAGGTCTCTCTGACTTTCTCCTGTCCTTCTCCCCTGGAGCAGGTCATAGAAGAATCCTCTGACCTTCCTCTAAAGTAGCTCACAAGACCCTCATCAGAGAGGTGTCCGACCTAGACCCAGAGGAAAGGAATGTCCCTGTCTCGGAAGACGCGGGGAATCAGAGAAGAATCTGAACAAACAGGCCTTGCGAAGTACCCCCAGTTTATCACCATTAGATCACACCCTTCTGTCCCTCCAATCTTGTTTCTGCATGACTCTCCACAAAAATATAAACATTTCCCTGTTTCTTCAGGACTTCATTTCTAAAGGCTCCAGTGTTACATAAACTTATAGTGAATAAACTTGTGTGCTTTTTCTCTTGTTAATCTGTCTTTTGTTATAGGGGCCTCAGCCATGAGGATCTGCCTGAGAACGGACAGCCCCTGTCAGTCGCCCTTTCATTCTTTAGAGAGCAAAGAACCTTACTGCCCCAGGGTGTAAAGGTCAAAGGCCCTCTGCCCCAGGGTGT